ACAATCAGAGGTGACAAAACCACGCGTAAAACCCAGATATACGTGTAGCATTTATGTTGCACTTTTTTGGCACATGTCCTGCGCACAGAAACCCGGAAAGCAAACGAAACGATTCACCCACGAGCGCTCGTGTGCGTGCTTACATTTGCCTTGATAGTTTACAAAAGTACGCAACTAGTTTTGTTACAAATACTGGCCTACGCCTGTTGGAATTTTCTGATACTGAAGCGTTTGCAACATTATTTTTTTTTTGGCCGGCGCTGCCATTTGCGAGAGATCTGCGTGACGAGCGTGCTGTGATTTCGCAGAGGCGAATGAGGCATTACTTTTTTTTCCCACTTCCCCAACAGCATGCACGCACCACCGTCTTTATAGATGGGGCCCAAATCATTGTGCATGCCGCACCTTCGCATAGTATTCAATGAGTGTCTATGGCCTGATGGGGGCAGTCATGCGAACCGTCGGTCAGCGTTGCATAATTCTATACTTCACAATAAGAGCATCAGCTTGTGATGTCTTTATCAGTACTGGTTCATTCGTTTTGATGAAGACAAAAATTATTTAAAAAACACATTTTCGGATGGACGGTTGACGAAGTTTGCTTCTTCGCTTGGCTTCTATGAACGATTTGGCACTAGACGCACGGGTACCGCCTCCTTGGCTGTTCGACGAACGTTTCCTATTTTTTTTAACGACGCGACGCGACAGGTGACGAACATGGAACTCGGCGAGGAGACCAGTTTCGTGCACTGTTCGTTTACCGTAAAAATGGAAAGCAAGTGCCTCTCACCCATCTTCCAGAGATATGAATATGCGCCCCCTCTTCCCCACCCAGCGTTTTCACTGTTTCGTTCGCTGCGTTTTATTCTTGACAAAATAGTTGTGGCGCAATTAAGGCTATGAAGAAAGACGAGAGAAGGCAGGATTGGGCGTTTTTAGTCGCCTATCGAGGGCAAATTAAAACAGCGAATGCATACGTATTTAATAAGGCATTGCATAATAAACAGATTGAAGAGTGCATCTTTTTTTTTAATTCTTGATGGCTCTTCCACCACCATGTTGAATTTCAATCTACGACCGATGAATGGCCTCCTCCAAATCTTGTCGGGTTATTCTCACCATAGGGCGGGGGGAGGGGGAACAGGGCGCTCGTTCGGGATTTCAGGGTAGTCCGCCACGTTGGTGTATAGCGGCTACGGTGCTCGGCTGCTGACTCGGAAGGTCGTGGGTTCGATGCCGGCCACGGCGGTCGCATTTGGGTGGAGGCGAAATGGTATAGAGGACCTCGTACTGTGCGATAGTGCACGTTGAAGAACACCAGTAAGTCGAAATGTCCCGAGCCGTCCACTATACGGCATCTCATAACCGTATACGTTCTTGTGAGCGTTAAACCACGTGTATTATTATCATTACTACTTCATGGTAGATGTCGAGGACACACAACGACAAGGTGAACAGCGCCATACGGCGACACCAAATAACATCCGTAAAATAGTACACAGACAATGTGCTCCCTGCGTATACGAATCTGTGCGCAAGAGGCACGTGCACCCGATCAGGGGGATCTTGTGTTTTCGCAAGCTGTCTGAGCACACGGAGCAGGGCGTTTTCACTTCCTCGTTCTCCGCGTGATTATTGTGTGTACCCATGCACTCGTCTCTTTCGGCCTCCTCTTCTAGGCCGCGCACGAGCCGCGACACGCGTAGCCTGGAAAGAAAGAAGCGCCGAGACGGCGACCTTGCCGTAAGGCCACGGCTGGTGATTCTTGTACACGTACCGCTGTGTACATACACCCGAGGGGATGGACAAGCACGCGGGTGGCACAGTGGCACGACAAAGCGATATCCCAACATGACGACACGTTGGCTCGTGCTGTTTTGAAGGGCCTCTAAACCACTCCGAGTTCAAAGAAGAGGGGCTTCTTTCTCGCATTCACTACGCTGTCCTACTCGGCATTTATTTCATCGACAAATACGTACGGGCGATGTCAACACCAGGCTTTGAGCCTATCGAGATTTCGTGCTGTTCGGGTTCGCACTGCTATTACCTCCGTTAGCGCCGTAGAAAACTCCGAAATGCCGGCTACGGTTGTGCGTGAAGCGGTTACGGTGCATGCCTGCCCACACAAAGGTCGCCGGTTCGATGCCGGCCACTGTAGTCGCATTTCGATGAAGGCAAAGTCGTGAAGACCCTTGTACTGTACGATGTCAGTGCACGTCAAACAACAATAGATGGTCGAAATTTCCGAAGACCTACACTACGGCGTCTCTCATAATCACTTGGTCGTTTAGAGACGTTAAATTCCACATATTATTATTCTTGAAGTGCCTAAATGAAGTGAAATATGCTGATAGCTCGCGGTATACGTCACGCGTGACAACGGGCGCGGGACTGCGTAATAAATTAGTGCAGCTTAGGAGAGAAAAAAAATTAGCAATTTCTATCATTCGTATATGCACCAATCGAGAGCTTAGTTCCTCGTGACGTAACGAGAACAGACTGCTGGTGTCACGAATAGCATCGAAAAGACGGCAAACGTGGCGAAGAGAATAACGTGCTCGTTCTATATTTTCAGAGGTTGTTTAGCGGCCCTTTTAACCTTCAGTACCATACCCTTGTACATTTTACCGGGCTGCGCCTCTAGCGTGCATGCTCGCGAAACAGCGTGCCCAGCGTAAGGGTCACGCGTACGGGAGCCGATGGCGCGTGAGTTATTCTGCGCATGCGTGCTTCCTCCTATATACGCAGGGCGAGAAAACGAGTCTTTGCGTGTCCGCCATTGCCCGCAGACGTCCCTGTATACTGAGGAAATTCAGAGTTGCGAACATGATTCTCCGTGCACTGTATAGTGCACCGCATGCATGGTGGAGAAAATGATTGAAGAGTACCCGCCGTGATACCTTATAGGGCTTATCTATCCTCCAGCCGCAGGGTTACCACGCACAGGGCGGGAAACCGCGCGCCCTCTGTAGGACGGCTAGCTGTGCGGAGCAAGCATTGTGTTGCTTCAGCTTTAGGTTTCAGGCTCAATCTATTGTGTTGCTTTAGCTTGAGGATGCAGGTGCTCTGCGTTGTGTTGCTTCGGCTTTAGATTGCGGGCTCAATGCCCAGCCGCGGCAGCTGGGTTTCGGTCCCGGTGTAAAAATAATTTCTGTGAGAGCGAAAATCGAAGCGTCCATGTACATTTAGGTTTAGGTACGCGTTAAACAACTACAGGTATGATCAAAAGTGAAGAAGAGTTCCCGACTCACACTCATATCATGGTTTTGGAAGGCGAAACCACAGAAGTTATGCGGTGAATGGGGGGGGGGGGGGGGGGGTTGCGGAAAGGTAAAGGAGGGGATATAAATGCAAGTGAAATATACTTGAAGGGGGTCTGGGCAACCAGTCTTGCATCTTTCTGGTCCTCCTCTAGAGCTTCCCTTTCTTGAATGGCTAACCACCAACTGTCCACGGCTTCACCAGGTTAAGGTTACAACTGCTGCGCCCATATAACAGCATGCAACTGCTGGCAACCTTCCCTCTGTGGTTCCCCGAGGCAGTCGATGTGGCGCTCGTAATAACAAGGTTTACGGAAGTCATACGCCGTCACTGAGAAGCATTCGCGATTCCCGGCAGTGAAACTTTGGCTGATGCATAATTCCCGACTGCAGGTCATTCATAAATGTGTCAAACGTATGTACTGGAGTGGCAGGGGTGTAGCCAGAATTTTTTTTCGGAGAGGGGGCGGGGGAAGCTTGTTGATTACGGGGAGGGCACTCCCTTGAAATAGTGATTTTTTGCTCTCTCTGTCATGGTGATAAAATACTTCGGGGGGGGGGGGGGGCACGGGTCGGTGTGCTACCGCCTGGCTACGCCCCTGCTGGGCGTTGTTAAGATAACAATACTAATGACCATACGAGAATGAAAGCAACCATCATCACTGAAATTGATTTTTTTTACCCGTTTCCACTCTCGTTTACCACAACTACCAGCTAGATAAGTTGACTGCGTGTGACCATATACGCATTGCAAGTCCCATTCTTGCTCATAGTGCGGTGCGCCCCTTCTTTGGCTCGTTGATCATTGTCGTCATCTCGCGCTGTTCCTAATCACCAATTAAAACCTGTATCACAAATTAGAGCGGCTTTTGTTACAGAGAATGTTCCGGTACCCAGTGCATCCGTCATTCTGCGCACTTGTGTGCGACCGGCGCGCGCGGAAACAAACGCAAGTAATAGAATAAACTGAAAAGGTTGAGTGTTATTTCTTTTTAAAAACTCATTCCTTGGCTAGTATATGCCTGTTAAGCATGCTGTCCTTGGCACAAATCCGAAAGTCTGCAGCGTTCCTCTACAGCGCTGCTTTGTACCACGAACATGCTTAATTGATTGATATGTGGGGTTTAACGTCCCAAAACCACTATATGATTATAAGAGACGCCGTAGTGGAGGGCTCCGGAAATTTAGACCACCTGGGGTTCTTTAACGTGCACCCAAATCTGAGCACACGGGCCTACAACATTTCCGCCTCCATCGGAAATGCAGCCGCCGCAGCCGGGGTTTGAACCCGCGCACTGCGGGTCAGCCGCCGAGTACCTTAGCCACTAGACCACCGCGGCGGGGCAATCCACGAACATGCTTAGCAGACTGTTCTTCGCAGACTGTTCTTCGACCAACATAACCACATAGACCCCGCCGCGGTGGTCTATGTGGTTATGTTGGTCGACTGCTAACCGGAAGGTCGCGGGATCGAATCGCGGCTGCGGTGGCAGCATTTTGGATGGAGGCGAAAAATAATGGAGGCCCGTGTGCTTATACATTTAGGTGCACGTTAAAGAAGCCCAGGGTGTCGAAATTTTCGGAGCCCTCCACTGCGGCGTCTCTCATGATCATATCATGGTTTTGAGGCGTTAAACCCAGATATTATTATTAGACTATGTTCGTCCGTTTGGCCTCGTCCCGTTTTTATTCTCCCCTCTCTATCATCCCATTTAGTACTGGAAACCGGTGTGTACTTACTACAGTTCGGACTCTTTCCTCCTCGCCGCTGTGAGTCCTGGTACTGTCACGCTGGCCTGCTAGCCGTGAGTGTGTGGTCCGCGTCCGGTGCGCTTGCTGCCTGGTCTGCGCCCAGACTCCGCTGGTCTACGTGATTCACGCGTCTACGAGAGGACTGTGTGGAAAGGAGGAGGGGAGGAGGAGGGAGACACGTGATGGCGTCGTCAACGACGACGACGACGAAGTGTAGATGCTTGCCGGGGGCGGATGCGACACCCCCCCGTACACAATGCGAATGAAGGGGAGCGATCTTTTTTTTGCCGCTCGGCACAGAAGAGGAGGCGAAATGGGGGAGAGCGGTGACGACGTGACGCATAGACAGACGAGTTGTACCGCGTTTGCTCGCGTATTGCAGGCACGGAATGTCGGCGCGATGATCTACGACGAGTGTATGGCAACGCTCGCAGATCGGCTAAATGCTTGAACTTAGCCACCTTCGATGATGATGAACAAACTTTATTTAATTAGCAGAAAGGTCCTCTTCCCCTTTCAGGTGCGAGAGAAGAAGGGAGGACTAAACCTAGACGACGGCCATGATCCCATGGGCCCTGGCGGCGTCTTCGGCCTGCCGTATTAAGCGGGCTTGTAATTGAGAGTCAGAGCTGAGGAGCGCGGCAAGCCACCTTCGAAAAAAATTTTATATAATCGGACTCACCTAACTTTTTCTCGTTCGGACTGAGACTCGCTAAACTTTTTCTGAGCCGGACTCGGTCTCAAACTAGCTAAGATATTACTCGTGTAAACTGACTCATACTCAGACGATATGACGACTGTTATAGCGCGAGAACAAAACGAAGACACAGAGACAAGAAGGACACGAAAGACACTTGTCTCTGTGTCGTCGTTCTGTTCTCGCGCTATAACTATCGTCATGCCATACCAACTAGCACAAGCTGCCACACTTCATACTCAGTACTCATGGCGCGATTTTAGTCTGAGTGTGAGCGAGTTGACTGATAAGTCAGTTTGCCGACCGATATGTCAAAGCCTACACAGGGGACTCGAAGATCAGAACGTCGCCCTGAACCACGGACCGTGCCATTGACGGATGAAAATGACAAGAATGAAAGACCTCGTCCTGCTCTTATTGAAGGCTTCAGACAATTTCGAGTCTCGCAGCAAGTAGCACGACCGTCCCGTCACTAGTGAAAGCAGTGCACACTTAGCGAAAAAATATGGGTTAGTTGGTTACATCAGAGAGAGATGAGACGACTGGCGAGGAATGGCAGCGAGGTTAGCCAAGGCCGTGAATGGTTTGCTCTCCCGACACAAAGGGAGAGGAAGCAAGAAAATTAAAGAGAAGAAAGAAATAGGCTAGACAAACATTGTACCGTGGTTAAACTAACTCCAACAGCTAACAAGCGCTCGTGCTGTCTGTTTTACATTCGTTAACAATCAGGAATAATGCATGCAGGTCATGGCCGATGGGCGTCACCATCGTGTGAAGAACAGGGAGCTGCGAATTTCATTTTTTTTTTTTGTCGTCGCTTTGAAGGACACGGCAGCTGACAGCCTCGCAAGTATAGGTATACAAACACGCGCAGCGGGCAGGCGCCGGCGCTCAATGTGTACAACAACGGAACATTTTATCTGCGTTCACTTGAGATAGTTGTACTATAGCTACGAAAGCACTTACCCGCGCGATAAGTTTTGTACAGGCATATCTACGAAACCATGCTTAACACATTTGGTACTTTTTAAAAGAGCAACTTTGAGTGGTGTTGCCGTCGCTGTAGGTCGCATAACCCATAGATATGAACAATAAATAATAGACATGAAAAAAAAAACAAAATGAGAAAGAAATGACAATCAGAATCAAATGGGATTTCCACAAGGGACCCTCCAGACGAGGACGAGGTGGGCATATATAGATATCGCATTGCTTGTAAAAGGCTCGGCGCGCATACACCGTGTGAAGGTACATACATATAAAAAAGGAAATACCAGAAGTTTCACAATGAGGTGTCGGTTATTATTTCAAATTATCTAAAGATACGTAGCCTAAGTGACTCTTGGTAAACGTAACACTGCAAAGAGCCGCGAGGAGCAACTTCCAGGCAGATCTGTTAGACTAGCACAACCTGTAGCAACATCACCGCCACCACGAAGATACTCTACATTTCGATGTATACAGCGCAGCCACACCGACTGACCCGGCTAATCAATCTTCTAAAGACCGATTACTTGTTCCGCATATGCCTTATACAGGGAGCATCGGGGAGTAGTTGATCTGGAAGCTCGATGGCCATCCGCTAGTCGAAGAGTATTTGTTCGTTGTTCGCGTGACACAAAAGCTGAATTTTGGGCCGTCGACTGTATACAGCATGCCCGAACCCCTCGGCGACCTTGTTTAAGTCCTCGCGCATTGGGTGGCTCCTTTCTACGTACAGAGAATTAGAGAGAAGTTGGCGGGGGGGGGGGGGGGGCACTTTGTGCTTTTAGCTCGGGGTGTTCCCACACGAGGTCACGGCGTTGGCTTATTACAGAAACCGTCGCTGCTTGGCTGGCGACCCCGGGGTGGTCATCTTTCGTACAGAAGACTGGGGTTATAATGCATGCAAGGTCAACAAAATGAAATGGGCGTCACTCCGAACCAACTGCGTGTGATTGAAAAAAAAAATGAAAGAAAAACAGTTGTCACTTCATATGCCTCGGTATTCAATGGTCGAAGCGAATTGGTTGTTGGACCGCTTCGGAGCTATGCTTGACAATCCCTGCAGTCTCTGGAGTCACAAGGGCATACTTCAGAGTGCTCAGCCCGACGTGCTTTCAGAAATATTTGTAAACTGCGCCTTTTGCAATAAAAATATTTCGCGACGAATTTTACGCAACCTTTTGTTGGCGAGATCTGATTGGCTCAACTCATGGGGATGTCCTCCAGGCAGATTCTGCGTAGGCGAAACAGAAAGGGAAGACGTGGAAGCACACGTGCGCTGCGAGAAAACCGGGTTGTGCCCGGAGTTCTGTGTGGACGCACAGCTGGACTGAGAGGACGCGGCTGATTGGCTAGATGGCTACTAGGGCTAGGACCGCACGCACGCTCGTCTCTCGCAAGCTCAAACTGGCTACAGCTCAAGAAGTGCAACTGTCATGGCGTCATCAAGGAGCACAAAGAGAACACAAACCAAAAGACTAGCGATCAAAATACACTTGAATCTCGCGGATAAATATGCTTTCTCGCATAATATGTTCCTATTTAAAACCTAATTCATTGCGAACGCTGGTGCATCGGTGATGTCGGCATCAACGCGAGCAATGTAAAAAAAAAATCATTATGTGAATTTGTCACCCTTTCAAGTCATCATTATGTCGCAGGTTGCCAAACTTTCTTTCTTCACATTTACATTCAGGCGCTGAGCCGTGCTCTCAATTAAGACTGCAGAAGTTCCGTCTTTTCCTTTCCTGAACTTCTCTATCTCTCACACATTTACATTACAATTACTTCGAATAATGTCCCCTATAATTGCCCTGTCATTACAGTCTGTTGGTTCTCATTACTTCTGTGTCTAACAAATTAAACGATCCCTCATTTCAAAGAGAGGGTCTGGCAGACTTGATGCCTTGGGGTGGTATGCGAGGAATTTAGTTTGAGTGACATTAAATTCAAATATTAATCCGACGTTGATTGTTGAAGTGGCGGTCTAGAAACCTCGTAGTGGTACTTTTGTGCCCAGGAAGGGCCTATTTTGAAATAAAATCACGTTTTAGTGCTCGCCGTCGGGTTAGCGCAAATCAAATTACCCGCCTTAAGAAGCGCACCGACCGGACCGTCTCGCGTCACTACCGTGCACAACATACACACAATATCCCGAGAAGACATCGTAGAAAGTGGCTTTCTCTTTCGAGTCGTACCAGGCAAATGTGTAAAAGATCCCATGTGACTTCTCCCCATGGGAATGTCCAGGATGAGCGATGTATTCTTTCACGAGTGCTCACGTGCTTTTGCTTAAAACAGTAAATGCGACAAAAAAGTGGACTTTTAATGATGTTTTTAAAACTTGCACGTTTCTATTCCAGTCGGCCAGCCTAAATGATATTCCGACGACCCGCAAGCAACGAGCTCGTTCAAGTGCTCACGTGAGTGAAAAAACGACAGCGGTGTTTAACACAACCAGGAGAGGTTTTTGTGTGTGTGTGTGTGTGTGTGCGTGTGTGTGTGTCGGCATTGATATTAAAATAACATATTACGGACTATTACGACACTAATGGAAAAAAATGAGCGCTGCTGTTCGTTTGAATTGCAAAGAAATGTTCATGTAGATTAGTGCTCAAAGTAAGGGTCCGCTTAACCATTTTCGGGGGTCTGCAGAACCCGTCCTCGCAATATGCCCAGTCATATAGCGGCCTTTTGTGATATGTGATAATTGGTACCGCATAACAATTTGCATTTCAATGGAGCTGATTTGTTTTCCCATTCCCAGAAGATGATTGTAAAGCTCCTTTTGCGTTTTTTTTTTTTTGCGACGTATCCGCGCATTTTATCCAGGCTTACATATTCGAAGAGCAAACACGGCAAGCAACAGGTCGAATGTGGCGGCTCGCGGCATAGCTTATTGACAAGCTGTAGTGGTTGAATTGGCGCAGCGCAACATTTCTTGGCCATCTCAGACCAAAATGTACGTATATATTTTTAACTATATGGTTCATATTTGCTGGCGCTGTTTTGTAGCGTAAGCTACACTGGCCGAAGGTTGAGCAGTTTCGCGTCGCTTATCGAGAGCCTTACTGCGCATGTCCGCGGAGCAGTGACGTCACACGACGCACAGCTGGTGCGCCGGAGAAGGCCTGGAAGCTAGTGGTGTGACGTGTCACTACTCAACTGGCGCTTGACTTGCGTTATCTCGCTCGCTAGTCCGTCCATCCGTCCGTCCGTCCGCGCGTCCATAGCGCACGCTACTTATATCCCAGCATTGCCGAGGTGAGCCACTGCTAATCTTTACTGCAATTATTTCGCGCGGCATGCCGCGTTAATTTATGCTCCGGGCCTCTTTCCGAGCTTTTCCTCTCACTTTTTTCTTTCCCTCATCAGTTACACGCATGTTTCGGGTGCCCGAAACAGGAGTGACTGAGAACCACTGCGCGAAGT